CGATCATTGATCACGTCAATCAATTATGCACAGCATGAAAAGACCAATTTTGACTTATCCCGTTTACATAACGGTTAAACTCATTGATGTTAGTAATGATGATATGCCTTACAATGTCCCAATGACAACAGCGCTTGAGAAAACTGAAAAGCAACTAACAACACTAATGAAATCGGTTAACCAGCAAACGTCCTCTGAGTATGAACAATCAGCAAAACTTCCCAAAGTAATGCTCAACAGTCCACAATATCAATACCGAATTTCATATGGGACCTTCAGTTTTACATAGTAATATAGCTTATGCTGCATACGACACATAGTATCTTGAGCCAAATGGATGTTTTACAATATTAAACAAAATAAATAGTTTGTTCCAAGTTTGCAAAATTTAAAATTGATATTCTGTTTCCCGTCTGCCTTTGATTATCCTCTACTTATTGATCACTTGTTTATAATCTCCAATGTAATTATATATATGTACTTAGTATCCTTAACCGGTACATAATGAAAATATATCAAGGATAAACTTTGGCTAGAGTGTTGTGTTTTTAAGATTCTTCTTTTCGCTGCAGGCATTCGATTAGTTGATTTGTTTTTGTTTAACATAGCGTTTTATAAAGGTTTAATTCACGTGCACACGCACAAATAGATGGTAGGATTTCAACCCTTTAGTCTATCAGCAGCTTTGCTGTATAATGACAACTTTCAGTAAAGCACTTTTTCCTTATTAATCGATCATTGTGCTTTAGTAGAGTTGAAGATAGTTAAGAATCTGCACCTTATTTTGATAGTAACTAACATTATTATTATTATTATTATTATTATTATTATTATTATTATTATTATTATTATTATTAGTTTCCTACGACTTTATTCGCGTTATATTAGCAATATCGTCAGATACATCATCATAGTTTATTTTTATCTTGTTATACTTTTCCTCAATTCAGTTTTCAACCCCATACTTCTGATTTCTTTCTCTCCACTAGAATTCAGAAAGAAATAATGAATAGAGTAAAAAAGAACACACACATGAGATATGAATATTTTCAATGTAGGCGGTAGGCACAAACTGTATAATCTGTACGAAATCTGTGCATTAAATGTTTTCATTACATTTTGAATTTAATTAACAAGTGAATTAGAAAATTAAGTATAAATTAGTATACAGAATTCCTCTTTATGTCAATATAAGGATTGGAATGATAAAAATGGTTGATTGTTTTATTTATTTCTTGGAGAAAATACTGACTAAGCTTTGTCTAGATTGAATAGGGAGTTTAAAACCAAAAACAACTGGATTATACAGCGTATTAAAAATATCAAACTTAAACTCGAAAGAATAACAATATTAATAGCCAGTGGTTTTATATCACCGAGTTACCCAATCTGAGAAAATTCGACCTATAGAAGATATCAACTCTTTTTGGATTGTTAGTAACATTCTTACTGATAGACCTAAGGTAGTATAAATCCCTTACATAATGTAATTTCATTGATATCTTCACATAATGTAGATATCTAATAAGTAGGAATTGATCTAATCTTCTAATTCATGGATATTCATTTCCAGTGTGTATAACAGGTGTACCATTTATTATTGATGTTACTGGATTGTGATTTTTTAATACATCCGATACTTAATGTTCATTTATTGAATTAATAAAGTGTATTATTTTTAATTATAAGTTAGCTGTCTTTTAGAAAAGAAATTTGAAAATTCAAAATAGTCACACAGTTATCTATGCACACCAACTATATGCCTCAAAATAACTAGCTTAGTTGATAGAATAACAACTTCAGAATGAAAAACCTTGCACAAATAATACGACCATTGTTTATTGGAACACCATTACCTTCAGAAATATTGCAAATCAAGTAAACAAGTAACGTCGATCTGAACACATCATCATTTATAGTTTACAATGATGAAGAAATCCAGAAATCTCGTCATCAAAATGAGTTAAGCGAGAAATTCAAAATATAGAAGCGGGTAACTACAGCGCAGTTTACATTGGATAAAGCTTTAAAAAAATAGTTAATTGATTAAATGGTTGGTTTTGTTTTTTCTCTCGATAATATCGACAGTTTGTTTAGATAATTTCAGGTCGTGTCAATTTTATACAAATTTGTGTGAAGGTCAATCCTAGGTTATGATTAAAAATGAAACTGTATGATTTTGTCGGTACTTGTGAGGTCAAAGCAAGAAAAGAAAGACCCGTCAATTACCGTTTTTTTCAAGCTCAGTATAGTTATGATTTTATCTAATTTTATGTAACAGCCGGATAGTGAAGTAGTTGGTATTCTAGTAAACACTAGAAACTGAAAACTACGAATTTTATCAAACTGTTTATTTGTATAGATGAAACACTGTTCTTGAAAACACAAGTTACTATTTCTAATCATGGTCAATATATATAATATAAGTGTGTAAGCGCCATAACATATTCTCGTGTTTGGAACTTTTACACAAGAATCGGGCTACGATCAGTTAACTGATCTTTAACATTATATATCCATGATAACTCATAAAATCGAATCCATGACCGACGTACTGATTAATAGCGGGAACAAATCATTTTAGACCATTTTTTCACTATCAAAATGATAAACTATTGAGAAAAGGTCATTGTGTTCACATTATGTACTATCATTTGAATTCTATCAAAAAATATATTTACTAACTCTTGTAAAGGGAAATAATGAAGCATATTATCACGTCAAAATACTTCAGTTTTTACTATAAGTTCGATTTGTACAGTTACTGTTTGCAATTCATCAGTATCGGTTTTATTTAACTTGTTTTATTGGTACCCATATTTCGGAAACCATATGACAGTTTTTATAGAAGAGGCGGATTTGTGACTATCAAAAAGATCCAGATTACGTACTTACGGCTATTTTAAGATTATTCAGCTGAATTTATCTTCATCCCATCGTCGATGTTGATAGTTGAACTGAAAACCAGTAACATTCAATCCAAACGCTCAATGCGTTATCATTTGAGCTACTGAATTCAGATACTGAATCATTTGTGCAATGTGTTTGATGTCATTATTATTTTTAGAAAGAAATTAAGCTATCCTGTTGTTGATAATCTTGACTGAATTCTGATTAGTTTATCAGTCCCAAAATAGGATTTGAAGTTGCCAACTTGAAACATTGACAATTTTTTTAGCTATTCACAAGTTATAAGTTTAGGTTGTTTATGTTCTCAGTTTTAAAATCCTTGATTCATATTGGAAATTTTCAAATATAACCATTGAATGAGAAAAATAATCTAACTTGAATGATATGTCACTCTTTTCAAACAAAAATAATTCACTGATAATTCTAGGTAATGACAAGTATCGATTTTTGCTAACTCTGGATATGCAGGTAATGTACAATCAATTAGCTCTTGTATAGTATTTCAACTAATTAATCAATATCACTGTGTGCATATGTGCCTGGAATAGGTTTATCCCAATAAAGTTTTATCGATATTGAACAGTAAATATTGCTGACAAGTTTGCAGAAACATAATTACCTAGTCACTGTAATCAATATTGTCACTAAATGGATTCATACAATTCTTTAAGTTTTAGCTATTACCCTCTTACATATCAAGCAATAATCTAAGCGAAGAGATTATGGGATAAATTCAGCCTACGTAAAGTTTCTAAAAAAAATAACTTTACGTGCCAAAAAGGCATCTATCACAATCGTGGGAGAACATTTTATTTCAAACACAAATACGCCTACTAAATAATAGTTTGGGTTAATTAATTTCTAAGATATATGGTTCTGTGTAGATTTTCGCTAGTTTAAGTACACGTTTTACCATAGACTAAAGTCATTAGCAGAACAACTGGAAAGTAGGATAAATCAAGATAGTTATTTCTTTCCAAACTAACAATTATGTGTTCTCTTGGGATCTAACCCGAGAATTCACAAGTTTCTAGGTGTTTGTTACCCCTCACTAAAATTGAAATTTAATAGTTCACATTTTTAGTTTATGATGTAGAGTGTTCATCCTATGTCATAGATGAGTGTATTTTCTACTCCCAACCTTGTTAATCACACAGGTTACTTAGATATTTTAACTGTTAATAAAGTTTTATCCATTCAAAAGATAATTTGATTGTTTATCAAATAAACAAGTGAGAATACTTATTTTCGTATGACTGAACGATATGTTATCTTAGACAATAAATATACAATATTACAATGCGCTAATATGAATCGATTCTATATGTCTATGGTTTTCAACCATGTCATCTTTAAAATATTTTTGTTTTCACTCGAATCTAACTTACATGAAAGTAAAGAATATGCAACACACACTTTTCATTCATTAAACAAGGATTTTCAATTATTTTCAGGATGCTTTTTTTCTGCTTTTATGTTTACTAAAGTAGAATTATTTATTGTGCAAGTTGTATAAACTTCTGTGCAGTATGTACATCTCTTCTAAGTGTCATTCTATGTTAGATACATCTGAATTTATTTTGTAAACTCGATGAATTTATGTTTTACACACATGGAATAGTTAGTGTTTAAATAAAATAATTAATTCGATATGACCGTAATTAATATAACGGATGAATAGAGATTATTGTGGTTTCAACGTTCAATTAGGAGTTACACTTTAGTTTTGAGAACTAGCTGATAGAATGAGGTCTATGTAAATGAAGTGAAAATTATACAAAAATTACAACTCAATAATTGAAACCAAAGTACTTTAGTCACCATCCCATTTTCCCTTTTTTTAGAAAAACATTCGTATATTTACACTAATGAAGGTATTGACATTATACTTTTCAGATGATTACTTGCCCAAATCTTGTTTTAAATGTTTTCATAGACATTATAAAAAGATGCCTCTTTCATTTACAAATACCTAATGAAGTAATCATTTTGAAACATTTTCATATGACTTACTAGGGGAATCTTATATTCAGTAAAATTTCAAGTTTATCTTGTTTGCCAAAACTTAAATAAAGTTGTTTCAATTTTAGTTTCAGAAAAAGTCCAAATAAAAATAGAAAATATATCGAAACAAAAAACTGTATTTAATAGTCATTCAGCTAACTTGCTTGATGTTCAAAACAATCCTGAAGATCGTTCACGTTTACATGATTCATTAGAAAATTTATCGGAATCAATTAGATCACGTCAATTACCATTAAGATTAGCCCCGTGTTTAAATAAAAAAAATCATTTTGATTATTTAGTTGCTGATACAAAATTGGATTCAACTTTATGCACCTCCAAATTATCACATATAGATGATAGTAGAATAAATAATCGTGATGCGTTACATAATGATCAAAAAATGAAAAGTTGTTTGGATCCATGGATAAAGACGAGTATAAGTCAGCGAATTAACTCAAGAGCTTATGAATGTTTAGACTCTGGACTTGAGGGTGTACAAGAAGAATTCGATAATGTGACTGACCAGGATGAAGAAATTGACTGCACAGATGGTAATCAAAATAATAATGAAATAAGAAACCCCATAAATAAAAACATTCAATCAGAAACTGATTCTCTAGAGTCAAATAATACTGATCCAAGTGACAGAAGACAAGAATCTGAATCATCATCTTCATCATTATCACTCAAGAAATTACGTCCTAAATATTTATTTCACATTGGGAAATCGAAACATAAAAATACTGAGTCTGTAAACGATCTCCAAAGTAAGTTTTAGAATTTTTTAAAATTATTTTTGCTCCTGGTTCGTTGTATTTTGGTATTTTTCATTATTGAAATCATATTCTATTCATTGTATTTCTTATCACGGCTAAATCCCTATGAAAAGATCCACTTACAGATTCAAGTTTAGCAATCTGATAACTAATATAACTAATTCTAATTTATTGTGTAAATTCCAAATGTTATATGAGTTTTATTTTGATTTATGGCTTGGCAAATGTTTATCATTCATATTTATTGGTTGCTTGAACCGTACCATTGAAGTCTAGGACTTCTATTGATCAGTCTCTTATTGACATATGTGCACCCTATGCAGATTGACTTGATATTGCAAGCATTTTAGGCAGAGATGGGTGGTAGCTAGCACTGGAACTCAGGACGCTCGTTTCATCCGATTCGGGGATTAATGGGAATGTCAATGTAGTACACATAAGATGCACGTATGCCAAAAAATGTTTGATCATTTGCTATCCTAAACATCAATTGAAAGATCCAAACGACGAATATATATATATATATATATATATATATATATATATATATATATATATATATATATATATATATATATAAACAAAAATCCATCTCATTCCGCGAGCCGGTGACTATGTGGACTACGTGACTAAGTGGGTGGCGTTTGAAGCGAACAGTGGTGGGTTGGAGTTTCGGAGTGATCACCAACTCTAGGATGCAGGTAATTTCACCTGACTAGGCCCAAATAGAACGAAACAAACGTCCTAGATTCTACCGCTAACCATCATCCATATAGTTTTATCAAAAGGCCGGTACTAAAAATTCCTTATGGCAGAATCGTCAGGTGTTAAGACACCGTTATTTTTGAAACATTTTCTATCGTGTAAATAACGTGGAACAGTATAATTCTGGATGGCTAATGTTAATACAAACACAAAAACCCTAACTCTCATAATTAGAAAAACTAATATGCTCAGTCGATGACCCGGTGGCTCTGTATTTCGAAGTGATACGGTCGGCATTAAGTTTGATAACCTAACCTTAGTTTCATAGTTTCATGGATGAATTTCCAAAACTATATCTAACGGTAATATTTTTTTAAAAGATGATAAAAACTACAAGCATCATACAAAATTCAAAAAAATTATGTTTAGAACAATAAACAATTAAAAGTAACGTTTTCCGTCGACTTGTTTTTATTTTCTTTTAGTTGTTAGCACAACGAAACCGAAATCCGAAAAGTATTGCAATGAACAAGAATCTATGCCTCCACCATCTAGTACTACTGTCTTAAAATATTCCAAGAAACATAAAACTATTGCCACCCGTATTATCAATTTTTTCTCAGCTCATTCTAAACATCGTAAAATAGACAGCAATCAGTCAATTAATGATTCTTCAATTCACTCATCTGATTCACCAAACAACATTAACCACCTAGATTACGATGATTCGTCAGAATTAAGTTTAGGTCAACAATCATCCGGTGAAATTTCAACCAGTAAAAGAATTAATCAAAAAACACAAGCATGCACCCGTGGTATTCCAACTGACAAACTTGGTCCTCCTTGTAAAACTCGGAAATTAATATCTGTTGGCACTTCTACACACTGGACTGGTGAGTAAATCCATAATAACAAGGCTGATATTAATACCAATAATAATTGTATTTTTCTAAATTTATGGTATCATTTCCTTGCATCACGATTCTATGGCTTCGAATTTAATTTCAAAAGTAAGGGACTTATTTCCAATAAATGGAGGAAGTAGCTATCCAGTGATTTCGGGTTCTTTTAATTTCAAGATTAATGAAAACAGTTTCAGTAATAATAGTATGTGCATTAAGTTGTTTTTAGAAGAGGGCTAAAAATCCCCGTTCGTGCATACAACTTCGCCGATATTTTGTTGACTATATATTACACCCCTAAAAAGTTATAATTCTGTACCCATGAGTATTGGGCTTGCAGATAGATCCGCGAGGTTAGAATGATAAGTCGTAACTAATGTTGTTTGATCATATTGCATACATAGTAGTTGACTGCAAGTGACCGCAAATTTTTGCCATCCGATAGGAGATAAAAAATATTGACAATCTAATTCCACGGTCGAATGATAAGTGTTCACTACGATATCTGAAGTAGCTAATTTATATTCATGACTACTTCGTGGTTGCGGACTATTAGCATACTAGGACGAAACGTTGTTCAGCTTTGTAGTGATCAGACAAAGGTTGGTTTGTTTTAAAAAAAACTGTATATTTTTTGTTAGATGAACTTGACAGTATCCTCCTCATACCTATTTCCAGCAACATGGAATTTCAGCATGCAGTTCATTCAAATCACAATAATACAATGACAGCCAATATTTCAAAGAATGATTAAGACAAACAATATTTGTAAATTGTTTGTGACTAATATGTCTTGATTTAAGATATCTTTCAACCCTGGTGGGAATATTGAAATCGTGAACCGATCAATGTTATACCAAATTTGGAAACCTGAAAACACTGAACGGCATAGGGCTCTTCCAAAGCGCTTATCCACGATATCGCACTTGGAATTCGGACGCAGAACCTTCGGTTTCGCGAGAGCGCTTAACCTTCAGACCACTAAGCCGACGTCCGACGGTGCTGATGTCCAACTTCAACCAATCCACGATATTGCGCTTAGTTATCAGATGCTACATCAGTTATGATAATATAACTCAACAGTAAATAAATTAATCAGTTGTTCTCTAAAGTCAACGTGTAAAAGTCAACTAGTAATAAAAATAATTGCTTTTTGAACAAGGGGAGTACGTATTTCATGAAACAAAGTGTCAACCTTTTGTAGTAATTTGTAAAGCGTTCAAGAAATTATGTAGACAATGATATTGTACAATGCACCACAAACTTTTCTTCTCCTTCTCATTCTTGTCGCTTTTCATATGTGTTTATGAAACTGTTTGAATTCACTATCTGCAAATTATGGTACCTAAATTTATTTTGTCTGATAAAACCTAAATCACTGTATATAACATGGGAAGGAAACAAAACTCGTGGAGTTTAACATTGTACTTTCAATATTTTACAAATAAACATCACAATATTAACAAATTTCAATCTCAAATACCCTTGTTGGTCACAAATATTTACAAATGAAAGGAAGAGTTTTCACTATAGCAACCCCCTCCGAATGTATTTTGTCATTTGGTTTTTGTTCATCTGTTTGTGTCGATTTAAATATTGATCTAATTCAATAAGTATGAAAGGCAGTTTATCTATTGTTACATGACATAGTACCCTACATTTAAGAGTGGCGCTATTTAAATTTATCAGTCAATAAAATGTTTCATCTTCACAATAGTTATGAAAAAGGATTTACAATTATGCTCGCGCGCGAAGCCAGTAGGTCCTGGATTCGAATCCCGTGGGGGGCGGGTTCGTGGATGCGCACTGCTGAAGATTCCCATACTACGACGAAACGGTCGTCCAGTGCTTCCAGGTTTTCCATGGTGGTCTAGCTTCAATTGGCTCATGATTTCAACTTGTGAAATGTTTAATTCCAAACCTTTGATTACTGAGCATTAACTAATGTTATAATATTTAGATCGATCGAATTTGAATGCGCAATGAGAAGAGGTAGTTACTTTGAAAAATGTAATTTGTTTGCATTATACATTACGAACAATGCTATCGCATATAAACTTGTCAAGGCATTGATAAGAACTAATGAATATCAATTAAATGTAATTCAAATACATACATGAAGCTATAAGTTTCTAGATAAAGGGAAAAATTAATATACTAAAAAAGGAATAGGATGTCGTCACACCACGCTAGGTTGTAAAAATGTTTTAACGATTGTCAGAAAAAATTCAAGGTTACGGCAAATTATTTCTGTATATATAAAGAGGGTGTGTATTTGTGAATAGCAAAGGCGTCAAAAAGCTTAAGAATTCATCCTAAAAAAACTACGCAACATTTTAAAGACGTTGTTGTTGTTTTCAACCCTATGGCTCATTTTGATTAGATGTTTTATTATCGATGAACATAGTTTTCTATTTCCTACTTTATCGCGGCATTTAATACCAAGTGGTTCTGAAGCCATTTAATTGATCTTCAGTAATTTTTATAAATGCCTTTTCAAGTTTATGTATGATCAAATTCTTCGAAAAGCATAATGTAAATACACCATATTTTTTCAAATTAACTGCCTCTTTTCACCGATCTAATAATATGTTGGACCAGATCAAAAATTGAGACGAAGTTGTAGTATGCCCATCAGTATAAATGACTCGACATTGAGTGCACAGTGCTTGTCCGTTATATGGTTGAAAACAATCCCAAGGAAGCTCAAAGTCAAATAACCTATCTAGTGATATTAGCGACATTTTTATTTTTGAACGTGAATGTATATCAGCATCATTATATGTAGTAAGGTGCAGTGTCAGATAATTTGCTTACTGTTGGATTATCGTGTGTAGGTAAACACTTTACTTCACTAAAAATATATAATTGTTTTCCAGATGTGAAGCAGTCTGATTTTAACTTGATTTGCGTGTTATCTAGTTAAACTCTTGTCTCCTTATTCACTTTCAAGTTTCCTCTTATTAAAATATTCACATATTTATTGTATAAAGAATTCAAGTAAACAGTGCTTGGACTTTCAGTACTTCCCTTAATTAGTCTCCACATCTATATCATCCTAAACGTGAATCAATACTTTTCTGTGTCATATAAAGTAACTTGCACCATTTAAATAAAATGAATTCACCTTATTCTGGTATGACGATTGAATCCTTATTACTAGTCTTTGATTTTCCGATTCTAGCTTTTTCTCTCATGTTCAAGTGGCTGTGGAAACTAAGTCTGGGGTTATTAGAAGCGGTTGGGAAATCCGATTGAGGATTCAACTAGCAGACTTATGAGAAACACTATATTAAAAAAATCAAGAGCCTTTGAACAATTTTGAAATTAGGAAAATTACAAGCAGCTGTTTTGTTTGGGATTAGAACTCGTGTGATAATGGAGTTTCCATCCGAAGTCAGTGTTGATGATGTCGTTCACAATAACGATGAAAACCCCACGACCAAACCATCCAGCTCAGAGGAAAAGACTTCACCAAAAACTAGAACTCATCAACAATATGTCGTAACTGTTAAGTCAGTGTTTAAAACACGAAACTTTCTTAAGACTTTTTTTTATGATGATGATACCCTAATTCAGCTGTCATCTTTTACTTTAAAAATGATCTCTGATTTCACAATGTGTTGAAGAAACTTTCTCAGTTAAAATAATAGTTTATGCATTCTGGTGATTGTTTTCTGAAACTATCAACAACTGTACAACTCAAGAAATCTTTCACCAAGTAACAATAATGATGAACATTCTTCAATTTCATTTCATTTTTTAAAAACAAATGGTTAGTTCTTTATGAAGCGAAAATCTAACAATCAGTGATTGATACTAACAAAATTGATTCATTAATTACTAAGGATTTTTGCATAAAATTCTTTTTGTTTGCCTGGATCAATTTTAATAAATATTTTCTGAAGAACATTTTAAATTACTTAGACAGTTGAGAAAGTATTGCATAGATAATATATAAGGTTAGTCAACACTTCCTGTAGAAAGATGGATGACATATGTTTGATGATTGGTAACTTGCCACATAATCTTCAAAATAGAATCTATTTCATTCCTTCCTACACAACTTTGATTGTAAATCAAAACATGATGAAACTGTAATTGTATTTGATAAACAAAACAAAACCAAAAAAAATTATGTAAATTATTCATTTATTTATTAGTTGAATTTTTCAACTACTTAAAGAAAGAACAATCATAACAAACAAATAAGGGTAGTTGTTAAATAATGAAATGCAATAAAATGCAACAGTACAATATAAAATGCAACCTAAATTGTTAAGCATATCTTTTCCTGTCTGATTTCTTTTAATATTGAATGCTTATAGGCTATTCGGACATGTTTGTACTACTATTCTAGGTAGATTTTGCATTTTGCTTTGAATATAATTGTGCTCTTTAAGTAAACATATTAGACTATTAGTTTGTGTGTATGCGTATATGAGTATTTATTGGCAGATATATACACACCATAAAGATAGATTTACACTATAAAACAGTAGATATGTGCATTGTGTACGAGCACACGTACATCCATCCATCTACCAACCAACACAAACTACCTGAAATAACTAAACACACACAAAGCACAAGTAGGTCATACTACTTTAACCGAATAAAAATAAATAAATAAATAAACGTCTGTAATATTTTCTTTTTTATCAGTATACATAACATTGTAGCCTATGATTTCAATTTGTGCCATGGATATTCAATACAACAACAGAGGGGAATAATAATAGTATCAAAATCATTTCATTATCAATGAAAAAAAATGTCATAAACGAAAATTACTGTTACCTGTTTATCAATACAAAGAAGTTTATTTGATCATGGATTACAGTTTATTTGAAAAAGAGGTAAAATTAGGCAGCAATTTATATGCTTTTGTCTATTGATTTAAACCTAACTGGATTGGAAAACACATATGCATGCATACACATCTGTATATGTATCAATGCATATGTATATACAGCACAAGTACACGTATA